CCACCACCACCACCACCAGCAGCAAGAACAACAATTGTTACCTTTACTCTTGCTATTTGAAACTTTGAAACCCATGGCCTGGATGAGCTCCAGGAGCCTGGGATGCAATCTTCAGGAGCCGCTGCTGACGGGGTGGTGCCAGGCACAGGAGAAGCATTGAGTCAGGCTGTTTAGGGTTTAGAGAGAAGCATGGAGCCAGATCCCCAACGCTGGGGTGAAGAAGTTGAAATTAGGGTCCCTTTAGTGGGGATACCCAGATTAAGGGCCATAATCCAATCTTGGCGTAAAGAAAGCCTCTCCCCATGTTTGGGAACTCCCAGCTAACTCAGGGATGCGTCATCGTGACAGGGACCCCGTAGAGGCCCAAAGGGCACGCCATCGCATACCCATTGGGATTCGCCGTGATTCGCCTGTAGGATAGAAGGCTCGCACAGTTTCAGTGCGCCTCCTTGAACCGTCAGTGCGAACTTCACAGTGCACAGTCGCTTCAAATATATCAACAGCTACCCACAGCTATCAAATGCTGTGCAGATTAAAAGCCTTAAGCCAAATCAATCTTTTGCAGCCATACTCAACACAAGACTCTCAGTTGTTGAATGCCAGGTCGGATGCAGCGTCTTTCCCGACAAGCTGAGAAGCACTTGCCGCAAAAGAAGCGATTCGCAGCTGGTATGTCAAGGATTCAAGGATGTTGAAATTGCCAGCTAACTGTCCAGCTACACCCCCTAAACCCTAAACCGAGCATACAGGCCCCAAAGAGACATCCACGGCTGACACAGTCAGCGTCGCGCATCCTAATGTGGCTGGAGGAAAGCTTGCACTACCTAGTATCCCTATTCCCTAGGAAGTGCAAAACTATGGGGTTCCCAAAGTGGTACAAGATTTTTCCTCCATACTGCACTATGACAGGTTTATACAAGGATCATCTTGGGATAATTTAGGGATAATGGAAAAGAAAATGGAAACTGTAATACTTAATCATGTAGGGATTATAGGTTCCCTCATCCGCTGTAGCATTAGCATCTCCATGGCTCAGGCTTGCACGAGCGGTTCAATGAGCAGACAGCCCAGACAGAAGGCAGCACAGAGGGCTTCTTTTAAAGTAATAAGAATAGTAAACATAGTAAAGGTAATAGTAGCAATGCTAATAATGGTGCTAAGATAAGGGTAGATCGATGTGAAAGCAATAATAGTAATGACAATAGTAATAATAGTAAAGCTACGAATCGTCGTGGTAATGGTGTGAGGTGGCTGCTGGCGGGGACTAACGGATCCTCTACCTGTGACCCCGTCTCGCCCAAAACGCCTATTAGCCACCCTTAAATGTCAAATTTAAAAGACGACTTACATGAACCATTCCTAGTGGTTCCTCGCGTGGATTTCTGGATCTCACGCGCCCAAGTGAGATACCCGCAGTGCTGACTTGGGAAGAAGATGGTACAGCACCCACTTTGAGCTATTCTCAAAGATGAACATCTCCACATCGTGTACATATATATATATACATATGTGTGTGTTTGGCTAGAAGTATAACCTCTATCATGTAGAAGTCTATTTGAGGCACCCTGTACCAGAATCCAGGACATAACACTGGCATTTTTCTCTATTACAACGATTTATTTTAGATTTTAGGCATCTACATTATACATGCACTCCCTGAACCCTAAACCCTGATCCCAAAACCTTAAACCCGAAAAATATCCCGGACAACCCCTATAATCCCTTTCAAGGGACAACTGTTAGAGCTGAAGCCTCTATCATCCCCATGATAACCCCTACACTCCCTGTAAAGGGACGACGTTTAGAGCTGAAGCAGGTCAGCTGCAAGAGCTCGTGAAGGCCTCCTGGCCTGCTCAGCATCGCAACCCTAAACCCTAAAGGGTTAAGGGTTGAGGGTTTGGGATGGTTTAGGGTTAAGGGTTTGGGTTTAGGACCCTAAACCTTAAACCCTAAACGGTTTAGGTCTGCTTTGCAAGGCCCTCCCAGAAGAAATTGCCATGTGAGATGCCGGACTGATTTTGCACAACTTTGTAGCGGCTTATGTGCTTTGAGTTGTTATGGTTTGAAGGTGGGGATTAGGGTTTAGGGTTAGTGCTTAGGGTTTTAGGGCTTAGGGTTTAGGACGCAGGGTTTAGGGTTTAGGGCTGATATGGGATTCAGGGCTTTGGGTTTCGTTTAGGGCTTAGGGAAGCCTGTTGCAAAAAGGGTTTACATAATTCCTTCCGACTAATGTTCACTACCCCCCAAATGTTGGATACTTTTTCATAAGAGAAACTTTTTTACGTGTGACATTCTTGATGTGGGCTGGTGGAAGGTGTTTCGTCATAATCTGAAGGGATCAGCTTAGGTCATTCCTCCTTACAGTAACAGTTACCACAATGGTACGCGTGACGCCCTTCTAAGACCATATAAGGCATTTTTAGCAACAGCTACTGTAAGGCGGAGTGGCCCAGTACATAGTGTGTGCTTGGTTGATTATGCTTTGGTGTGCTTGGTTTTGGTCGAGTGGTGAGTGTATGTATTGGGTGTCCGATATGTGCAATTCTGCTACCTCACATAGATAGGAAGGCCCTGACTGCATGTGCTTGTGAAGGCAAATTCTCTGGGGTTTTCGTGTTTGTGCACGGGGGATGGTGGTTCTGAGATGTCATGGTTTTGAAAGTCTGGTGGCCACTGATGAATTTGTGAGACGGGGTTGTGGGAATCAGCACGTTGAATGCACACCAGGCGCAGGAGAGGCTTCATCAGCGCATCTTGGCGAGTGTGGAGACCTGAGTTTGCATACCTGTGACTGAATGGACAGTTTTTTGGCTCCGCGTAAGCGATATTTCTATACCAGGAAAACACGTGAGCCTGCCAATATTTCGAGGTCATAGCACTGCAAGGTGAAAGCGCCCAGTTCAAAGGGTGGATGTGCATAAATGGCCATTTGCAGGCTTCAATGTTGTGTGGGGCACGCGAAGTGTTTGCTAATCCTTCGAAGACATTGATCTGGGCTTGGAGGTCACAATGCAGGCTTTCTGGAAGACTGACATTTTCTTAAGGCCTAGCCCTGAATTTAGTCTTTTCCGTTTTGTTTTCCATTCTCCCCTATATAACCCCAAGATACAATAGTAGCTTCCGTTTGATTCTCCGTTCTTACGATATAACCCCAAGATACAATAGTAGTTTCCACGTTTTTTCCATTCTCCCTTTTATATCCCCAATAGACTATACTAGTTTACATGTTTTCCATTATCCCATTATAGCGCTAAACCTTAAACCCTCAACCCAGGCATCTGAAGCATCGCAGCACCGTGCAGATGCCCAAGCACGTCATGAACTCAGCGGTTCTGCGGTCGTGCAAAAGGTCAACATCCCTATGTCCCA